CCATAAACTAACAGGCACGCGAGAGAATCATGTCCGGGGTAGATTCTGTGTGTGGGGTAAGTGGGCCTAACCCCACAGAAATACAAGTCCCGCTAGTTAGCTTAAGAGTTGGAGTGGTGATGGGCCAAGCTACATATGACCATGGAACCTGTCGACACTCACAGGTACTGGGGCTGGAAACAGGGTGGGCAGGTCCAGGCTGCAGCACCCACATGCGTACCCTAAAACAGGGTGTGGGGCAGGCCAGGACGCAACATCCACCAGCTCATACAAAGACCAGACAGAGGTGACAGGCTATGCTGGGTAAAGGCCTAGCACCCACTGGCTTTCGTAAGATCTGGTTCTCAGAATGGGCCAAATGAGGGAACTGCTGGGGTCCGTGCAGTAGGTGTGGATGACATGAAGATGTGAAGAGAACAGCTCCCCTGTTTGGCAGGGCCCAGGGGAGCTTCCAGCTGTCTGGCAGGGCCTGGTGGATGTCTCTCTGACCACCTTGATACGGTTTCACCCCATTTGCATGGACACTCAATCACCCTACTAAGAATTCTGTAACCTATTGAGATATTGTTATTTGCCCTGTGAGACAGCTTTTTCAACTGATGTGAGCTTGAAAGCTAATGTCACTAATAATGCCTTGGTGAGTGGGTCATTCACAGTTTATACACAGGAGCACAATTAAATCCATGCAATTTCTGGACACCTTATTGGGTGCTTAACCATTGCCTCAGAATCTGGCCCAGACATGCAGCACACCTTCTGGGAAAGGGCTTGATAAATATCCTAAATACTAATGCAAGTGATGGGAGTAAGGGCTGAAACTGCTATGGCAATAAATATAGTTACTATGATCTCAAAGGCTAGCCTGTCTTTGCAATTTCTTTGGAGCATAGAAAATGTAATTGTTCTAGGCACTTTCATAACTTTTAGCTAGAAGAATTAAGGATGCTTTTATTAAAGAAATATGCTTTTAATTATTGATTGCTTATGGGATTGTAGAGCCTATAGTTGTAGGGGGAATTTAACATTTGAAATTTTTGTCTTGGATTTTTATGTTTTTTTTCTGTGTGACATATTTTTCCCATTAAAAGATGGGTAAATTGTAGAAATAGAAATTCAGTAGGAATGTATTACTGATTAGCAGGCTCCTGGCTTCGGATCGGTGTAGCACCAGCTGTTGGCAGTCACTTGGGGAGTGAATCATCCAAGGGAAGATCCTTCTGTCTCTCCTTCTCTCTGTATATCTGACTTTGCAATAAAAATAAATAAAATCTTTATAAAAAAACATTCTAAACAGAGAAGAATGACCTATACATGGTGAAAAATTTCTAGAGATTTTCTGTGTAACACTGCAGTCATCATTAACAATATCTTTTCTTCATATCTACTGCTGGATCCAGCTCTGAGCTTTCAAATTTCTCATAAAAATCATGATCACGCTTTCATCCTGACAGGTTATTTTTTTTCCACTAGATTGAATGAGTTTCTGCTTGTTTTTTTCTTCCCTATAGTAAGTTGTTTCATCATGTTCTGGGCTATGTGTTTGACAGTGATGAGCCTTCCATGTCCCCACTTAGCATTCACGGTGAGGTGTCTCTCCTGCCAGAGGATTTCCTTCAGTTCTCAGTCCCTTTGCTTTATAGAGCTCTTCTTGCACACAGGATTGTCAGCAGGTAACTGTCTTACTCAGTCCCACTCCGACTGGATGCTTTCTTTTTTACCCCTCCTATCTCTGTCACCGTCACTGGTCCATGGTCACTGGGCTGGGAGTTTGGAGAGCTCTCCTCTGCACGCCACTTCTCCCCAGCCTTGTCTGTGGATGACACATTGCACATATTCTACTTGTTAGTGCTGAGATCTGGACTTGCTTTCTTTTAAGTTTCCATTTCTTCATGGAAAGAGGCAATCTTTTCACTTGCTACATGTTTTAACCTTTGAAATGCTGGGAACCGTCACTGTAAAGGACTGCCTATCAGTTCCGACACTTGCAAGGTCACTGTGTCTACCTGAAATGACTGCTGGTTTTCTGGACTACAGGTCACAAGGTCCCACTGTTACAGGCCTCATGATTACATATGGAACTCAGAGAAAGGACATTTGGGAGTGAACACAGCTTGACTTTATTCCCTGAGTGTGCCCTTCCTTGCTCCTTTCATCACTAGGGCAGGGCAGGGTCATCAGAGCCCTCACAAAGTTGAACACGACTCCAGTGACACCTCAGCTTTAACTGTAGTCTCAGCCTGTCTGCCACCTCTCAAACCAATACCTCCAGCTCTGACCAGACTTTTCAATTTCTGTTTCCATGAAATACACTGATAGCTGGACTCACAGCTTGAATCAGGCAAATCAGTTTGGAAAGCATGAAACACAGGACCAATAACACTCAGGAACCAAGTGTTCTCTGTAGGGCAAACCTGCAGAAGAAGGTGCATGGCCCCCATCACAGTAGCAGGATACTCAAAGCCACTGGGAATGCTGAGGGGGTAACAGGGCACGGAGTGCAATGGGTTGAGATTAACACACTCTTGGGATCAAAAGGAGACAACTCAGGGTCACCTACAAGGCTGGGCCCCTTCTGTAGCTCACCATCTGTGTCAGAGAACTCAGAGGAACGTTTTGAGCACAGCTGTCCCCCAGATTGGTATCACCTAGGAGACAATAAAGGAAATGAAGAGAAGGGTGACATGTTGCCCTGGGGACTCCACACTCTGCTGTTAATTGGCATCTTGTCTGCTTCTTGTAGACATTAAAATGAGGCCTGCAGAGAGATGAGCTAAGGAATGCTTTCCTTAAAGCTCTGCAGGCTCATTCTGGTGCACAGAATCCTCACGCCTGTCTGGTAAGTGATTATTTTTCTCCACATATGGTAAACTGGGGGACGAGGTAGTGGGGGACTTCAGGGCAGGGACCAGAAGTGGCATTTTGACCAAGAGTGAGGATTTTGGAAGACTGGGAGGCATCAGCTGCAACTGCCTTGTGAAGTTCAGAAATGTTTTCTGCAAAATGGAAAAGTGTCTCTTAATTATTAGACTTGTAAGTCAATTTGATCAAGGAAACAATTTAAGGATTCCATTTATTTTTCTGAGAAAAATGACACTGTTGACCTGCTCTATCAATACCCAAGTGTGTACTGTCATTCTTGCTAATGATTGCAAAATTGAAACAGAATAATTTTAAATGTATTCAGGGAAGTTCTGAGTTTTAATTTCAGTTATTTGCTTTTTAAAAATGCTGCTTGGATTCATCCTCACAAATCAAATAGACTTACCATTTGTATAACTGACTGATACGCTTAAAGCACCTAATAATTTCAGAGTCTTTGTGTATCAATGAACTTAGTCCTTCAAAAATTCCTGTCCTAAATGGAACTTAGCCTGTCTCTGTCTCTCTCAGTGTCTGTTTACCAAATAACTAGTCACTAAATGGTTGGCAAGCTTTTAGCACAACGGTTCAGATGCCAACTGAGTGCCCAAATCCCAGTATCAGAGTCTCTGGGTTCAAGCTCCTGGCTTCAGCTTCTGACTCAAGCTTCCTGCCAGAGCAGTGATGCTAGCAGCCATTGGTGTCCTATCATCCATGGATTAAAGCTATGGCCCAACATATCCTAGAAAGTAAATGACTCAATAAAGAAATAAATAAAATAATGAAAAATGATATTCCACCCATGGATTCACTCCCTGAGTGATTACAACAGCCAGTGCTGGACCAGGTTGAAGCCAGGAGTGTCTTCTGGGTTTCCTAGCTGGGTGGCAGGGGCCCAAACACGTGGCTCATCCTCCCCTGCCCTTCTAAGCACACCAACAGGGAGCCAGATCAGAAGTAAACCAGGCTGGGTAATGATGTATGGTTGAGTGGACGGAAATCACGCCATGTCCTCAGCATCTCCACCCTGCTGCAGCACAGGATGGCACTCAGGCCGCAGAGAAAAAGAAAGATGTGCTCTCTCTCCCCTCACCCACCCTGTCTCGGTCCAGCCTCAAGGTCATAGGTCATCTTATTTTTTAGTTTATACACTTTATTATTTTTATTTTATAATGCTTAATTTTTAAATTTAACTTGTCAGATAAACAAGCAGAGCATACCTATCAAATACTAGCAGAAATAGTTGGAGGTATTAATAAAAATAAAATTCCATCAGAGTTCTCTCTGTATAGTATTTAACTACTTTTGTAATTCTTTATCCTTTTTTAGGCAAGCATAAAGATGACACATTACTGGAAGATCTGCATTAAGTCAGGTTTGAGAACTGACTTAATTCAGATACTGACATTTCCCAGCAATTGTTACGAGCAAGAACCATTTCCATATCTGGTATACACTTCATCTTTTTTCATATGTAATATTCATGAAACCCTGGCTAAATGACTAACCATGTTTCATCAGTGAGCTGGTCAGACAGCCTCATAAGCTACTCATAGTCATACTAAATGGATATTGGAGACATAAATTCAAGTAGTCTGACATGAAAGTCCTCGTGTATGGATATTTGCTAACATATTAAGATTACTTGGCCTGACAATAAACAAATCACAATCAACAAATCAATGAAACAACATGATATCAAACACGGATAACACAGAGACTCGGCTTGAGAGGGTTTTATTACGTTTATGCCTCTTTCCAAATTCAGCATCATTAACACCTGCACGGCTCTCAGTCAATGGCTCTTGTTACTGAAAAGCTGAACACTGAGGCAACAAAAGGAACAATTTTCACAATGTGTGATGACTTCCACTATAGAGAAAAACAGATTATTCTTGGAGCACAGCAAGGATATGTATAATGCAAATGTGACTGGGAGTGGATGGAGATGGTTCCCAGAAGCTGGAGGAGGTGAGTCCTAAATGGGTAAAGGCATTTAGATCTGGTGACAGACCTATAAATTGTGAAGATGGTGATTGTGTTGGCAGAGACTAAGGAAGCTGTTGATTTTTCTAAGAAAGCACTGTTTTTGGTTTTCTTCTCTGATATATGCTACTTGCTGCATTTCTCCCCCCAATAATATGAAAAACAGCGAATTTTATAATATTGACCTAAGGAACATATTTTTCTGTGAAATTGGCATTGGAATTTCAACCAACGCATTCATACTTCTCTCCCACATCCCCTCATTCTTTTTCCAACACAAGCCCAAGCCCATCGACCTGACCATTGCTCTCTTGACTCTGACTCACTTACTGATGTTGATCACCATTAGTTTCATTGCTAGGGACACATTTGGGTCCCAAGATTTCTGGGATGATGTCATATGCAAATCAACTTTCTACATTTACCGGGTGCTGCGAGGTCTGTCCATGTGCACCACCTGCCTGCTGAGTGTCCAACAGGCCATCATCCTCAGCCACAATAACTCCTGTCTAGCAAAATTCAAACGGATACCCTCCCATCAGAGCCTGGGCTCCCTCCTTCTCCTGTGGGCTTGCTATTGCACTATCAGCACTCACCTGGTATTTACCATCATTGCCACCCCCAATTTGACATCAAGCAGCCTACTGTACATCACTGAATCCTGTTCCTTTTCGCCTTTGAGTTACTCCTTCAGTCAGCTGTTTCCCACACTGGTGACTTTCCGGGATGTCTCCCTTATAGGGCTCATGGCCCTCTCGAGTGGCTATATGGTGACCCTCCTGTGCAGGCACAAGAGGCAGTCCCAGCACCTTCATGACACTAGCCTTTCTCTACGAGCCTCCCCAGAGCTGAGGGCCACAAGGGTCATTCTGTTGTTTCTGTGGTCTTTTGTGGTATTGTTCAGTTTGGACTGCACTATCTCCTCTTTCAGATTTATGAGGAACAGTGACCCAAACATCTACTGCATCCAGATTCTTGTGGCCAATGGCTATGCCATCATCAGCCCTTTCGTTTTCCTCATTACCAAAAAACAAATAATTCTCTGTTGGAAGTCCTTGTGGCAGAGGGCAGTTAATGTTTAATTAATCAGTGATGGATAAATCAGCCAATGCCCTGGCCTCAGAACAATTAATGGTGGCACCCAATGTGGGCTCACTGAGTTATATGAGATGTAGAGTTATGCTGATCTCTCAAAACTGTTTTCTTTCACCGATGCGCATTAAAAATATGAGGCAGATCATTGAATTCACAGATCTTTGTAAGATCACACAAGGGTTTCATGTTTCTGGAAACTTTTGGAAGGGAAACCCATGAGGTATAGCCTGGGATTTCCTCCAAACACTTACTTGTATGCGATAGTTCACAAACTTCTCAGTGAGTTAATAATCTCAGAGGTATAATGTTTTGCCTAACCAGCTATGTAAGTTATTATTAACATAAGCTAAGTACCATTTGACCCAATATTCTACTCTGTGTGCATATCAAACATATTTAGATGGTTACCTTCTTAGAATTTTATCTATGAAATACATCAAATCTATTATTTTACATTAACACCTTTTAAAAAATTGAATGGGGAGAGAACTTCCAGCAGCCTGGCAGCTGCTGGGAGTACCCAAGTCAGGTCATACTCAATGCTTAGGGCCCTGGCCACAGTCACCGCTGCCATGTGGTGAGTAAGTCCTGGACTTGTCTGGGCAGCCCAAGAGGTTTCTCTCTTCATGGTGAGTACACTGGGAGCGGATCTCTTGGGAGCAAAGGCAGGCCCTGCTTCCACCTGCTGCCACCATAGTGCAGCAGGAAGGACCTAGGGGAATTTGACCTCTGGGCCTGGGTGGAGAGAACTTCCTGCAACCTGGCGGCTGCTTGGAATGCCCAAGCAAGGTTGGACTCAATGACCATTACCACACAATGAGCAAGTCCTATGTTTTGGGTGGCGAGCGCATTATTGGCGCCAGGCTCCATGCCTGGTGGCAAGCTCTGGGGTCTTGCGGGTGTGGAATTGCTGCCTAGGTACGTCCATGAATGAGGCTACTGTGCGTTGTCAGTGAAGAATCAATACGAGGGACTCCCAACAACAGGGTCACTTTACTTGAAGGTAAGCAAGGGCACTGAGACCTGGTGGTTTGGAGGGGAGAAGCCAGATGATTTGTATGGGTCAGACTGATACACCAGCCTATAGGTGAGTCCTGTGTAGGACTTACTACCACCAAGCAATGCTGACTTCAACACACCAGTCCATGTGAAAGCTAGGGCTGGGGGCCTGTCTAGCATGATTAGATCCTAGTACCTGACAGAATGCCAGAACAGGAGATGATTCACATTAACAGGGCCATGACACTAACCAGCATATGAGAGAACCAGGTCCAGGGATAGATTCTGTGCAGATTCTGTGAGGGATGTGTGGACCCAATCCTGTGGAAGTACAAGTCCCGCTGGTTAGCTCAAGAGTTGGGGTAGTGATGGGCTGAGTTAGGTGTGACCATGGAACCTGGGTACACACATGGGTACAGGGACTGATAACAGTCTAGGCAGATCCAAGCTGCAGCACCCAAATGTGCATTCTAAAATGGCAGGGGTGGGGGAGGAGGCCATGCTGCAACATTCACCAGCTCATACAAGGCCAAGATGGAAGGGCAGACTATGCTGGGTACTAACCTAACACCCACCAGCATGTTAGAAATCTGAGTCTGGGAATTGGTCAAGTGGGAGAACTTGGGAAACTGCCCTAGTGGGTCCTAACTCTCACTGATGAGCACATGGTCTAAGCCTGGGGGTTGGGCAAGCTGGGCAAAGTAGTTCAAATGGCTGGCTATTGTGTGGGTTGGTAATGGAAGGGGGCAGATTGGGCAGGGCTGAGCAAACCTTAGCTCATCAGCAAGAACAGAAATCAAGCTGGAGCATAGGTCATGATGAGCTAGGCTCTTACACCTACTGGTTTGCATGAGTCAGGGATGCCAGGCTATAGCATCTAAGGCCAAAGCCAAGACAGGTGAGGGGTTATGCCAACTGGGTCAGAGCATGCCCCGGCCCGCGGGGTCTTCAACGGAGACCTGGGGAGAGAACCGACGATTGGGGGGGACAGGAGACACGAAGAATGGGAGCAAGACAGGAGGTCTGATCAAGCTCCGAAAACTTTATTTTCTCAGGCAGTATTTAAGCAGCAGGTAAAGGCTGGGTGGGGGGAGTTTTACAGCGGAATGTGGGCCAGATAGGGCAGAGGTCACCAGGACAACCGTTATCTTGGGTGAACAATTACAGGTGAAAGATTACGAGGAATCCGGGTAAAAGATAACTGGATCTAGCATTCCAAGACCATTACAAAGTGAGGAAATAACAAAATGGAGTCACTCCTGCTGTTCGGCAGTTCTCTGGTCCCCGGCAAGAGCAACCACTTGGCACATGCATAATCAATGGCTGGGAACAGGCCTGGTTTGGGAGATAAGGAGACACCCTGCCTGGGTTAGATTTCCCACTGGTGAATGCGGGGGCTAGAGTGGGAGCTGCGGTCTGGTCTGGATAAGGGTGCAGTGTCCCTCACATAAGTGTGGACTAGGGCTGGGCACACCAAACTGGGCTAGACTCCAGCATCCACTAGTACTCTGGAGGATCAGGGTAAGTATAGGACAGCCTAGGGTAGGTTTAGGACAGGCTAGGCTAGGTCTCTGCCACCTACTGAGCCCTGTGTGAGCTGCATTCAGGTGTGGACCAGCCTTGGCTAGGTTGAAACGCCCAACGTAAGAACCAGAATGGGCTGAAGGCCAGTTAGGAAAGGCCACTGTTCCTGCTAGGATAGGAGGTGAACTAAGTAGGACTGGACCACTGGTGGACTCACCTGTGTGCTCAAGATCTGACACTGGGAGAGGTTTTGACAGAGGAACTTGGCAAACTCCTGTCAGAGCACAGTCCCTACAGGTGAGTGCAAGAACCATGATAGGAAGCATCCCAGACTAGGCCAGGGAACACTACCCACCAGCATACATTTGGCACAGGTCAGGGGAGGACCAGGCTGAACCAGTTCACATCTCACACTGGTGAATCTGAGCATCTGAATAGAGTGTGGGTCTGGCCGGGTTCAGTCGCAAAACATATCAGTACACATTATGGCTGGGACTGAGTGCAAATTGGACTAGGCTGTAACCCCCACCAGCATGAGCTGGAATTGGGAGTGGGCCAGGCCAGGCCAGGCCAGACTAAAACACCCACTGGCAAATGCTGAGGCGAGGCGGGTCATGCCAGACTGAGCCACAGCACCCAACCAGCACATGTGAGAACCAGGGGGCAGGGGACAAAGCTGGTAGGGGGAATGTGGAAGGCTCCTCTTGGACCACCACTCCCATTGGAGAGCGTAAATTGGGATGGGGCAGACTAGATCAGGCAGGGCTACAACAACTATGGCCCTCAAGTGAGCTAGATCAGGGAAAAGCTAGGCTGGGTTGACTGTTCCTACTGGTGTAAGCATAAATCAGAGTGGGTGAGGGTTGCTTGGGCTTTGCCGCAGCATCAGCTGGCAGAGGCTGGCATAGGGGCTAATTCTGTTAAGTTAAATTGCAGAGCCACCTTGAGAATGCAAAATCTGTGAGTGAGAGTGGGCCCATTAGGGAAATAGTGGGCACCTCCCTCTTGGGTTATCACACCCACTGGAGAGCATGAAAACCAGGACTAGTGGTGGCTAGACAGAGTGGCACCCACAAGCATGTGTGTGAGCTGGATGGGGTGGGCAATTGGGTTGAACTAGGCTTCAATGCCCACTGACATGCATGAGAGCTGAATGAGAATATGGAACAGACTGGACCAGTATGCCATATATTCTGGCAAGCACAGGAACCAGGGCAGAGGGAGGGCCTGGTGGGGGTTATTGCGGGTCATTCTGACTAGGCTGCAGACCCACTGGTTTGTGTGAAGGCCGAGTGAGTGGTGGGCAGGATCAGGCTGGACTGCAACATCCATTGGTTCACGTGGAAGACGAGGCTAGAAAAAGAACTGACCCAGCAAATGCAACCACCAGCATATGCATAAACTGATTGGGGCAAGGACTGTGCTGGACCCTGTACTGGCAAGCACACACAAGAATCAGGTCTGGGATTACCTCAGATGAAGTTTCTTTGGGGATCCCTCCAACTGAATTGCTGGACTCAGAACCTCAACCATGAAGAGAAGACAGAGACTCTAAGGTGGACTATGTTAGCCAGTGGATTCTGGAGAGATTTCATCATGCTTGGAATGGCGAGAATGGCAGCAATTCAAAACCACTTGAGCAGGACCGTCGGAGCATGCTCCACATTGGGGACCTGGGATGGTTGGGAGACTGGTGGGGCTTCTCCCTTCACCTGCCCTCTTACCCCAGACACAGAAAAAGAGAGAGAATATGGAAACAATGGTCTTACTCACTTTCCTATAGCCCTTGACTCTGTGCTCTGATCAACTACGTAAAGATTATCAAAATAAAATAATTAAAAGAAAAAAATTAGATGGAGGGACTCAAACTCTTTTTGTGTACCCCATTGTTTACAGTAGCATGATTTCCAACAGTTAATGGTAGAAGCAAGCCAGTGACGGTAGCCAAACAGTGTGTGAACAGAATATATCCATCCACATAGCAGATTCGTATTCAGCCTTTAACAGGAAGAGCATTGTGAGAACAGCAGTCCAGGTGCTCAGAAAAGGGTGGAAGAGGGAGATACTGGTTAACGGACATGGAAGATCCGTTCAGGAAGAAAAAGGCATTTTGGTTTGGGTGGTGTGATGGTTACACAACAGGGTGAATAAATTCAATGCCACTCATTATACAGTGAAAATTGCTGAATGGAAAATTTTGTGTTTGTACTTACCATCATGAAAGATGCATGAAATCTCCTTACAGGCAACTGTAACAATGATTCTCTCTGAAATTTAAAAAAAAAATGACAATTTTCTATATATGGCCACATAATTTACTATAGTTTAAAGTATCATAGAAAATTTCTGCCAGACAGTGATTTTAAGACTGCTTCCTAAAGTGCCCAATCCTGTATCTGTAAATTTCTCTAATGGCAAAAAATAAGCTGTTGGCAAAGATTCTGTTTAGGACCCACTGTGCTGT